TCCCCCGTTCGCCAACAGAAACAGCAGATCGATCAGTTGCCGTATCGATTATTATGGAGAGTCCGTTTCGAGGGTGGACGCCTTTGATGATCCGTACAAACACACAACAGTCCAGAATTTCCGGGAGATCTGCCTGCCGTCCGATAAGACTTGCAAAGTTTCGGGGCCAAACCCGTCGTCGTCGTGCGCACGTTTCGCAGGTAGCTGGGACCAGACCTTCAGATATGTGCATTTTGCTGCTGACTGATGAAGAAGAATATTGGAGACTGGCGACTGGCTGGACGGACGGGTGGATGGAATGGTTGGCTGTTGGTTCGTCCGGCATTGTTGAAGGTTAAACGGAGCTCAAGCCGCCGTTGATGGCAGTGGGCCAGTGGCCCTCAGAACCGAAGGCACATGCACGATTGACGGGACCCGCAGAGGACGGACACATCCCCGCAACCGTATCGAGAGGGAAGAACCGTTCTGCGCTGCGTCTGGCAACTGCCAAAAACGGCAGGTCTGTCGAAACGGACCCTACCTGCTTCTTTTAGTGCGAGGTGGTATCCGTCCATAGTGCTCCCGCCGTAACCGCGTCTTATCTCAGCACAGACTTGACCGGTCGATAAGATTATCACCGCCGGAGAACGTGGGGTTTGACCGGTCCCTAAGGAAGATGGATGGTGTTATCGCGTTTCCCGTATTGCTTACCCCATCCTCCAGGCCGCCCCCGAGGAACATTCTCGTATGCTGTCATCTGGCGTTGGCATTGCTATTTTCAACTCTTGCTATCCGTAATGGGCGCCGGTGGCACGACGCCTAGAGAAGGGGGGATACAGGCAGACGGCAAGTCCAGTTCCATCGCGTTTCCATCGTGGGAGCTACGTTGCGCCCTTGCGAGGCCTCTGCACAGTCCCCTACGGATCTATGGTATGGAAGGGCTTGGACGATGGCCCGGGAGGGGTCGGTGCTCCCGTCCGAAGGCCATCACGCTATCTTTGGGGTGTATATCTTTAGACAGCCGACAGCCCGCCGTTCTCAGAAGAAACCCGCCGGTGCCGGTGGCTGACAGTCAGTGCTCCCCAACGCCCCGGATTCCAGTTCCCCGGCCTATCTAAACGAGCAACTCGGAATCCAAAAGAAGACGACGAGGGCGACGACGACGTTGAACGCCAAGGGATGGACGGACGGAGTGCGATAGCCAGGCGAAAACGGATTCCGAGTCCGCGCTCGCTCACGTCGCCTGAGGATGAGGCAGGCGGTGGGGGTTTGGGGGGTGCCTCTTTGGGACACCGATAAAGATTACGGCGGCGGCGGCGGCGGTGGTCCATCTTGGAAACGTGGGGGTGTTGGTTGGGTGATTTGCGCTTCCCATCATCCCCGGCGCATTCCCAGCAGAGGCTCGGTCTCAGTCTGCTGTTCCCGTCGCTGCGCTGGCACTGGTTGCGAGAGCATCATCAGATAACGGACACCGACAACTTGCTTTTGGTCTCTGCCCGACGACCACCACCCTTTTTTTCTTGAAATGACCTCACACACACAAGACAAACAAGCAACCAACACCCCCGATGGCGCCGCTTGCTTCACTCTGCAGCCCAATCGACAAAAACGAAATGAAATCGGGGCAGCAGCAGTCTCAGAAACCAAGCGCCGGAATAACAAACGGGAGGATGGAATATGACAAGTGACCGGCTGGGCTCCGGCTCCCCGGGGGGTCGGGTAATCTCCCAGCGAGTCGATCCCAACCCAACCGCCCGGCGAACCCAAGGCCTGGGTCCGGCCACGACCGCATCTTGCAGGGCCAGCGACGCAGGCAAGCGGCAGCAATCACTAAGGCGGTGACCGGGTCTAGAGTCATTCTCTTCTGCTGCGGGCTGCGGTGCTGTCGTCGCCGCGGGAGATGGGCGATCCCTCTATCGTGCATTCGTGCATTCCACCCTCTCCCCGGGGCCCAGAACTCGTTGTCTCGTATCGTTTGACAGGGGCACAATTGTACGGAGTCTGTACGAAGTACGCCCCCTCCGTCAGCGGTGGGAAATACCAATCACCCAGGAGCCCAATTTCAGCATTACGACCAACACACCCTCGGCGTTGGTGTCGCAGGGTCGCGCATTTCATACCGCTCGCGATGCGATGGATCTCATGGAGGGGCGTACAGTTGACAGGAGAGGGGTAGCTACTTTAGCTACTGCCGCAGTAAGGTAAGGTTGGTAGGGCAGCTTGTCATCCCCAACGGTCGCGAACACGCACAACACAACTCTCGCCCTTTGTAATTGCCAAATCCAAAATGGCCTTGCCGTGATTCGCGATCCGAAAATACAATGCCGCCCACCACTCTGCGAGACTCGATCCCTCCATCCCTCCCTCCCCCACGGATGACTCTGGCTAGGCCTGGACCATCTTCATCCTCCCTCATAGGTGCTCCGGGCTGTCTTGTCTTGTTCGACAATCCGAAAGCCGGACGCAGCGCATCTCGAGAGCTAATCACACGCGTCTCCGGCGTGTTACGGTCCTCATAGGACAGCTGCGACGCACACACGGTCTGGGTGACGGCGTCCCATGGGCGGCGCTCGGGACCTGACTGGTCGGGCGCGTGCCAAACTCTCGCCGTTCTGCGCTCCAATCACCTCCCGGCGCATCGCCGTCCGTCGCAATCACAGTGACTCACTGTTTTGTGTGTGGGGGACGGGTGACGATGATTGATGATGGGGCAGCGGCAGCAGCCCAGTGGATGAGGCAAATACAGAAAATTTTTCGGCAAGTCTACCTAATACGAACCCACCCTTGCTGTCATTCGCATTCTTTTTCTGCTTCTCTCGCGGCTTCTTCTGCTGCTGCCAATTTCGCGGCGGCATGTCGCTCATTCCCGTCCTGCGGCCTTGGTCACATCCGATAGCGGGCCGCCGCAGCCTCTCTATATTTCTCTCTGTCAACGACACGACAACGGAGGGGGGTCCGGACTTGTGGCTTGCGTGCGTTGTGTGTGGATGTGTGTAAGTGTGTGTGTTGCGTGCGTGTCCGTCCTGCACACCCACCACCACCCCCTCTTCAACCTGGAACCCGTCAAATGCCATCTCTCCCGCCCTGCTGTGGACGATGGAGCCCAGCCCTGCTGCGTGTCTTGTGTGTACGATTTCCCTTACGTGCGCTGCAAGTTACGGGCGGTGTGTATGGTGTGCCTGGGGTGCTGCCCCGATTCGTCGTCCCCTCATCGTGCATGCAGCAAGTTAGCATCTGCATCCCGAAAGAAAGAAGAAGCAAGCAAGCGAGCGCAGGAGAAGGAAAGCTGAAACCTCGCACACCACACACCCCTCCTCTGAGCAGCAAACTACCCCTGCCAACAAAACAATCACATTTCCCCATCCTCGGGGCCCAATCGATATGTATGCGACAAGTCTCACCGCCGCTTTCCATGACAGTCATAATTGAAGATTCAGTCAAAAAATGACAGGGACGCAACGAGGCTTTTTTGAGACTTGCATTTGTCTTTGATCCTTGGCGTTGGGTAAGGAATTTTTTCCTTTTGAGATTTGTCTAGCCCTCCCCTCTACGCTCCGATATCCCACATGTCTCACGTAACGAAATGGGGACCTGGGAAAAGCAAGACTACACGAGACCTCCTCCATTCCATCCACAGTCCCGTTTGCGACAGATACCCCGGTCGCAGAAGCTAGCTGGCAGATGCACCACCGCTCTGTGTCTCTGATCGCACGCCGGATCGTCAGGGGCACTGGCGGGGAGAGAATGCCAGTTGGTAGAAACTGTATGTTTGCGTTTTGCTTTTGGGCAGCACACACGCGAGGCACAGCCGTTGCGGACATGATGCTAGGTAGCCGCTCTGACCACACTCAAAATCGGCTGCCGACATGCCAATCTCTGGCGTCGGCTCAGGAATCTCGGGGCTGAAGCGGATGTGGAAATGGGAGGTAAATAGTCTTTACATTGCTGCGCCGGGGCTGGATGACGATCGCCGCCGACGTCTGATGTTTGACTTTCAGCCGCGTTGATCGATCGGTGGTGAGGTGAGATTTGGCGGCGGCGGCACATGTAGCAAGGTTTCGCTGTCCCTCGTCCTCCCCCCGGTTTGTGTTTGGATTGCCGCGTGGTGCAGCCAGCAGGTTCACGGGCATGTAGCAATAACTGCGTGCGGCATGCAAGCTGAGAGCTCCTCTAACCTTGTTCACGAACTCCATCCGAGCTTTTCCTTACGTGTGCAGGAGGAGCAATAAGCAGCACAGCCCTTCCTGGGTGTGCCAGCGATGCTCGGATCACAAGGGGGAACCGTACGATCGATCGATTGCATGGCATGTCTGTTCCGCGTAGAGCATCCCCGGAGATTGAAGCATCAGGAAGGAGGGTTTGCATTATATCATCCCGCATACGGAAGGCCTTCCCCGGCCGTCCCGCTGGAAAAGAAACGGGTTCTAAATCCGTCCGCACGTAGCCTCGGCAGAAGCAGCTGTCAAAGCTGCTTCTTGCCGTCCGCCGATCGACCGGGGGTAACCAGTCCGCCGGCGACCTTGCTCGGCCCCGCTGCGCAGCCCGTCATCCCCGTCCGTGATGGTGTGCGTCGGGGTGCGCCCCACTTGGCGGACACCGCGCTGGGCCGTTCTCCGGGGCTGGGGACCCCTGACTTGCCGTTTTAGGAATGCAGACGTCGGAGGAGTGGACGACGGCGGTCGGGTGGCGAGTAATGATCGCCGGATCTCCGGGGCTAAGGGAGACTACTGCACTTTTGTCACCTCAGAGGGATGTTCGGTGGCATTGAACGAGCTGATCTCCATGTTACATGAGCCAGCTTGAAGGCTTTCAATTATGTCTGCTTCTGATGTGAGAAACAATCACCCTAATGCGGGAACCAGTCTAAAATAGCCGCGGGGCTCGTGAATGAGAGACTTGAAGATGAAAGGGCATAGGAAGCCTTTTGAATACCATAATCCGACGACTTTTGCCATTTTCAGGGAATCATACCATCCTCCCATTATCTCCCTTCAATAAGAGAATCTCAAATCTTTACCATTTCAGCGCAGAGGCAGGGTCTTCTGCGCATCGCTGACAGTGCCGTTCTCGACAGCGGCGCGGTGCCCGCGGGCAATGTAGCCGTAGGCGGGGTAGTACTCGTCGAGCCAGGAGAAGAGCTCGTTGGCGCCGGGGGTGTTGCGCCAGTCGCGCATGAGGTCGAGGGAGATGGAGAAGAGCGAGACGACCTGGACGCCGGCGGCGGCCATGCGGTCGTTGGAGATGTCGCGGATGAGCTCGGTGGTGGTGCCGGACGCCTCGACGTTGGCCCAGACGGAGTAGCCCTCGGCGCGGAGCGAGAGCGCGAGGAAGGTGGTGCAGACGTCGGTGGTGATGCCCGCGAGGATGATCTGCGACTTGTTGGCGGCGCGGACGGCGTCGCGGAAGTCGGCGTTGTCCCAGGCGTCGACCTCGCCGTTGCGCTTGATCAGGGGCGCCGTGGGGTGCATGTCGAGGATCTCCTGAGGGAGAGGTCCATTGGGGCCTGGCTGTGTTAGCGGTTTGGTCGAGATGACAGTTGGCTTAGAGGCAAAGTTTGGCTTACCGGTCTCGGCGGAGGTGGTCAGGACGACGGGAAGGTCAAAGATGTTGGCCAGAGAGGAGTGAGCCAGCATGGCGTTGCGGTAGAGGGTCGGGTCGAAGTCGCGGGCGAGGTTGAAGAGTCCCTCCTGCATGTCGACAACCAGAAGCATGGAGTCGTTCTTGTTGAGTCTCTCCCAGGGGACGGCTGTTTGGTGTTAGTCGGCTGCGAAGATTCGTCCGGTTGTAAGTGCGACTTACCATCGCCAACCACGGCGGAGATGAGGGTCGAAGCCGCGAGAGTAAGGGAGAACTTCATGTTGTTAACGGCTTGGGGGTTTGGTCCTGGAGCAAGCTGTTTGAGTCTGGAGGTCGAGATATAGACTTGGGCTCGATTTGTCTGCTTGATGAGGATGAAGAGTATATTCTTTGACGAAGATAAGTCGATACCTCTCTTATATACAAGATTTCGTCGATACACCTTGACATCTGGTTCCGCAGACGCTACCCTTCTCGGAGTCTACTCCGCAATTTCGACATCGTGGGCAACGTTCCTACCAACGGTCACCGCCCACGTGCCTCTCACTCAATATGCGTCATTTCCCATTCGGTGCATTTTCATGGCGATATGCTGTAAATCCGACTCGGTGTAACAGAAATCCATCCAGCCTTGTCTGCTGTCGTGCTTCTCCCACGAGAATTTCCTCTTTGGGAAAGATGCTGGAGATGTGCTTTCGAAGGATGCAGTAAACATTGAGTGTACGTTAGTCAGCCCCCCTGCTCATCTCTTGGCAGATCTATAGCCTCATCGGCACTTTGAATTGGTTTCATTGGCTTCTGACGATACAGTCTGCCGAACGGCCCGGAGCGATGGCCGGAGGTGGAACTCCGCCGGTGGTACCCATACAGAGAGGAGACGTCCCATCCAAAATGCCATAAGCTGGGCGTAAGCATCTCCCAACCCCAGAAATTTGCTGGTGCTTGAGCTGCTGCGTGGTCTTGACTAAGCCTCCGTCACCAGGGACGTACGAAAGGAGACAACAGGGCCACACAACTCATTTCCCCAAAGCCCCGCATCGGTTGGACGAGCCAGACAGGACCTGCCATATTGATGATGACGGATGTTTTCGTGGCGTAGAGAAATGGAGTCGTTGGTGCTGGCTTAGCTAAGGCCCGCGTCGGTATTTGATAAGACGGGAGTTCTGCTTTGTGAGATGCGTCCCGCTCCGTAGTGGGGTCGGGGTTCCTTGGTCGATGCCGCGATTGCGTTGTGGAGAGCATTCGCCCGGTTTCTAAGCGGTTATGTGGCGTGTGTCAGCAACCGTGTAGGCTGCATAAGAGTTCTTCCCGTTGGTCAACGCCATTTGATGCAGCCTCTAAGCATCCGTGGCGATTGGCTTCCGTAGAGCAACCATAATATGAGGAAGAGATGTGGCTCGTTGTAATGTTTTGTGGATAATAAATAGATTGTCATAACAACTTGATTGCATTTCTACAACGTTACTTTTAAATTTCCAACGTCCAAACCAACACTCCTTACGTCAGGATGTGACTGTATCCCGAACTCGAGTCACCACTGCTTTCCACGGGTTGCTCAGTCACCAACATGAACCCCTTTCCCTCGTCGTACTTGACTTTGAAATCCTGAAACCATCTCATAATATTGATTAAGGCCAGTGAATTTCTCCAGATTCAGTCCTTTTTTCGACGCACCCAAGGCTGCGGCAGTTACCAGCGCAGTACTATTCGTTGGGTCGAAATCGTCATCGATCCGCACGCCGGTCTTCAGACCCTTGTATGTGTACCATCCTGCAATGGAAACCAGGTATAAGATCATAGGAAGGACGATTAACAAAGCTGTCGGCTGTGTCTGATGATATCCGACTCTAGAAGTGGTATAAGTCCCATTGACAGTGCTTCGACCGGTTGCATTGTATTTGGCAGAATAGTATATCCGTGAGTAGGTGCCTGCATATTCAGCCAAGCCGCGCAAAGCAGACTCAACGGCGACTGGATACGTGAAGTTTCCCGAGCCATCCCCGGTAGTATTGAGGCTAAGAATGGAGTCGATCAGACCGCTTCCCTAGAGGTGTGGCTCCTGTTAGTGTTGTACCTAAGGAAGGCCGCGCGAAAGAACTAAAACACACCCAACTCGTGATGGAGTAGCTGAGAAGATCGTTAACGTTGGCGATCGTCTCATTTGGCACGGCTGAACTGCCAATCGTCTCCACGATCTTTGACGTGAACAGCCCTGTGGCTGTGGAATAAGTGACGAGGTTGTTGGTGATCATCGGCTCAATTGTGCACGTGATTTTCGGAAGGTTGTCATACTTCCCAAACGGCTTGAGATAGAACTCATATTTCTTAATGTCTCGATCAGGCTGACACAGGGAGTGCGCCACAACACCTATGCTCGGCACAACCCACTTATCTTGTCTAATGCAAAAGTCCTTCCGAATAGAGTACTCAACCAACTGTAGGGTGTTGTGGTTATCAGCTGAGTTGGTCACGTTCAGCGTCTCCAGAATCTTATTCTCTATCGGCGTGTCTAGTGTTTCATAACACGACACTTCTGCAGAGAGGCCTTGTTGTGAAAGGGTGTAGTTGAAATGCGGGTATCTAGTGGAGGGGTCCCAGTTCTTGAAATCCACGTTGTTGAAGGCCGGGATGCCACGGAAACCGATGGGGAGTACTCCGCCAGTCGAGCCTTGGAATAGGCTGTCGATGACTCTCACTGATGCATTGTCGACGCCGAGAGTTTGTTGGGTAGCGGAAACTCCTGCAGAAATATAACCAATAGGGTCATCTGTGTGAGGGCAAGTAGGGAAATTGACGGAACCTGTCGATGAGGTATAAGTCATCCGTTCACACAGGTAGCGCTTATTCACTGGTACATTATTGTCTGAGCCTCGTATGTTGTACCAGTCCCGAAATTCATCAGCTGTGTAATCGAGTTCGTCGCCGAGGATACCCTCGCTGACGAGGACGTTGGTTGGGGTGAGGAGCGTTGTGAAGGCTGTAGTGAGGGTCAACGCGACGAGCCAGTTGACAATTGTAAATCCAGATAGCTTTAGGCGTTTGGTGTTAAAAAGCGGTTGTTCGTTAGCACACCTGTTCCATCCTTCAGAGTGTTAACAGGTTTTAAAAGTCGTATGCAGGGTTCTTAGGAGTTAGTATCTACCTTCAATTGTGGAAAAGGTGGCTCCTTCACGGGCTCTCTGTCTGATCATCAGAAGCAGACAACATTTGAGCAACAGCAGGAAGATAGCTGCAGAAACACTACCGCATGCTGTCCAGATGATGGTTCCGGTCTTTGGGTTAGCTCGCAGCCACTCCCCAAATTCGACGGGATACAGTAAAGGCCGCTTGGATCCGATAATCCAAAAAACGACAGCGAGACCGCTCAAAGAAATAATAAGAGAATTGTAGATTAGATACCACACAATCGCATTCGTCGAGGACGCGCGCTGAGGTGAAGTTGAGCCAGCCATCTCGACAGTGTGGCTATGCTGTTATAAGTTGCCTTGTAAATTGTGGCCGGTAGGCGATGAACACAGCACTCTGTTCGAACGATGAAAGCTTGCAGAGCACAGGCTTGGGGGTTTCATGTATATACATTGCTCTGGAAAAGTCTACCACACATCCTTCGTGGGTTGGTACTGGGCCAGGTCCCGCATGCCTAGACCGGTGCCAACATATATCCACGAGGCCGTCCGTAGATAAGCAGGCTGTCCCCAAAAGGAAATCATCTACAAAAAGAATGCGGAAAGCCGCACTATCGATGCAGCCTCAGTCTTCATGTGCAGGAGGATAAAGCAGGCTGAACTTATCTGCAGCCGTGTAGCATCCAACCCGTTCCATGTTTAATTTCTCGACGCAGATTGCGCCCTGTCGAGCTTCCCATCGCAAGAACGAGGTTATGATAAGCATGGGAAATTACTATGATAAAATAACGTAGAATTCATCAATGGCCGCAGAAGACCATAATCAGGACTTCCATCTCCATCAGATACCAGTGGTCATCGTCGATATCTGTCACTGCACATCAGTCCAGCAACTCTCAGCTCAACACTTGTCCTGCGGATACGAAATGCTTGCCTATCCTACAATATATCAGATATTGCCCACCTCTCTGGAAGCCACCCCACTCACTGCCTTTGGATTCTTGCAGATGCATGCATCTCTTTTTGAAGATTATGGTCTAGTCATAGAAAGCAAGTAAGTCTATAGTGTCAGAAATTTATTCCCTAAAGCAAAGCTTCAAATACTGAAACTCTCATCTTCTGTCGGATAAATGCCTAGGTAGACAGAAATTATTTGCTACAATTTGCTTTCAAGTGGCATCCTCTACTCTCAAACGTTTCATTGCTTTCATCTTTCGAAAAAGATTCAAAAACAAACAGCAACCACGGGTGGCGTCATGATGGTGTGTTAGTGGTATTGAACTATTTCCTTGGAGGGGGGGTGGGGGGCTTTCGAAGAGAGGGTTGTTACGCTTGAAGCAGGCTGTGGTCTGAACAGGGTGATGGCAGAGTTGGAAGAATTTTCGAAAAGTTTGAGCCGAAAGCTTCTGGAACTCGGGCTGTCAGACACACTCATTTGTAATATGTGAGTCGTGTTGTTTGTTGCCGAGGCCAAAGTGCACTTTGCACATCAGCAAGGCTGGCAGAACACCTTGGCTTGGAAATGCTACTCGTGTTTGCTATCCTTTTCCGACCCCTTATCTAGACTTCAATGTGAGCTGCGTATCTCGCGGCCGCTGATATGCTTCACGTGAGCCATTCGGTTTTCAGCTCATGCATCTTGGTGTGTATCTTCTGACCACCCTATTTACTCACACTCATCCAGTACACCAGCAAGTCCAACACCTTCTCAATATGACAAGGTCACCGCAAAAAATACAAGATTCAGCCTTCCATCAAACAGTACCAGTCTTTCCACAGCGTTGAGGTCATGCAGCTGGAGGTCGGCATATAAACCATGTGATGCGCTGACGCAGGATTGCGACAAGGAATGTTGTCTGCGACTTCTTCCCCATGATGAATGGCACTATCACGTCAATGACACCACGTGCAAGGATAGAGAATTGGAATCTGTAGGAGATTTTCACCGTACAGAAGCGGCAAGAACATGACAACTATAGAGAGGTCACTAAGCGTTTTTGAGCCTTCTTGCGACTCGTTGTCAGTTTAGGTCCTGATGTTGTCCGGGAAAGGCGAGCAATGCTTTTGCACTTGCCGCTGGAGTTCTTCAGCTCTTCGAAACCCTTGGCTTCGAGATTTCTGGACCATCGATGATGTCTACGTGGAACAGCGGGAGATAGGATGTCTTTTTGCGGTCGTAGATCTAGACATTCGGCTCATTTCAGACCCAGATGATCCCAAGAACCTTCACAGCCTAGTCGTACATCCCAATCCGAGGCTTTTTGCTTCAGCTGTTGCACTGATGGAGCTGACCTGCGGCGCTCCATTGTCATGATTTCGAGAGCAGGGCGACAGAGACGATGAGTACACCGAGCTGCGAATTGCAGATCGCAGTCGTAATCTTTAGCTCTCTAATCTGACAAGGAAAAGTTGTCATGGTCCCAAATCACTCGGAAAAAGTTCAATCGTCGTTACGCATAACGTGGATATAAAAGATCTGAAGAAGACTAAGCTGACTAGAACAGCCGAGGTCCGTAAGAAATTCGCCGACGCCTCTGAGAATGATCCTCTCTATGCCGTTTGCCTTCCTCGTCATTCTGTTCTTGTCATTACCCCGAGGACACACGTCTGCCCCAACATAAGCTTTGGCCAATTACTCATGAGCAAGGATATCAGACCCGAAGTCTCCTGAATTGGTCCTTTCGAAGTACTTCACTTGAAAGGCAGCAAAATCACTAGTAAATACGCCCTCACGGCCATCTTCAACTTATACGGCCTCGTGAGGACTTGATAAATTGTATGTCTTTCGACCTCGTCTACTCCAAACGCCAGACGAAACATGTAGATGATATGTGGGAACAACAAACGGATGAGTCTCAGCGGAGCGGCCGGGATGATAACCGGCTCAAGCCCCTCGGTGCCGAGCGCCTACGCAACGCTATATCAAAATTTCCCATGCAGAAACCTTCCACGCAACCGAAACGCCGTATACGCCGTCTGTGTCGAGATGCAGAGAAGAAAGAAGCACCACCCTTAGCTCCTCAAGGCTTCGAGCCTGTTGCGCATCTGGTCCATCATAGCCTCGGCATCCTCCTCTTCCTCCTCGGCCTCGACCGGCTTGGGCTCCTGTGCGACGGGCACGGCGGGGAGCTGCTCCTTGGGCATGCGGTCCTTAAGGATCTCTCCAAGTACCTTATCAACCTCGCCCTCGGCCTCCTCCTCTTCCAGCTCGTCCATGTCCTCTGGCAAGCTCTCGCCAACCATCTCCTCGATGATACCAGCCTTCATCAACTCAGCGCTCAACTCCTGCATCGTGCCGGCCAATTCGGGTAGTCGGATCAGGCGGTTGACGTCCTTCATCACGCCGACGCTCGCGCGGATGCTACCCTCGATCTTACGCACGGCAAAGGCTTCGTTGACCTGCATCTGGACGCTGTTGAGCTGGGCCTTCGAAGTGATGAGTCGAGAGCTCGTTTTTCGTGCGCGGATGAGCTCGCGGGCAAAGTCGCGGGCTTCTTTTTGTGCTTGCTTCGCTCGCGTGGGGTCTCGTTGGGCTCGCTTATCGGCTTGGACGATGAGTTGCTTCGTCTTGGCTTCGACTTGTCTGACTTGGTTGATGTCGCGGTCTAGTTTGCGGATGTTGGAGCGCATAAGAGCATTGCACTTCCGCAGCTGCAGGAGAGAAGTCTGGTCAGTGTCTTTGGCATTTCGTCGGGCGGTAGAGCTGCCGTACCTGTTGCTGCGGATCGGGCTTGACGAACAGCGACTTGAGGGTCTCCATGATGGGCTGGGCGGCGGACAATGGCCGGTGAACGCCGTCAATGTGTGGAGATTCGGCTTCGAGGCGTAGGTGCGAGCGCGGGACTGATGGATGCGTGATGGGCTGTCACCAGCCTCTTGTGTTGGCGGGTTCGATAAGCGCTGCCTTGGGTCTGGGAGCGATGTGTCGTCATTCCCTGGATCGCTGCCTCAACTGACACGGGCCGTAGTGGGGGATTGTCGTCACGTGGAGACGCTGCAAATAGTATGCGCGTAAGAAGGAAAAGTATGATACCGGGGTGCGTCCGTGGTAAACCATGCGAATCACCAACCGGGGCGAGGAAACCTTCGGCTCACTCTGAACAGGCGGCTTGGCGGAGCTCGAGAAACAAACTTGAGTCTAAGGTTACAGCTGCTGCTAGTTCATCCTGTCGACTTGTCACATCTCTCAAGTGCACAATTATCAGGATTGGGTTGTTCTGACGCAGGAAGTGACGTCTCCATCGGATGGTCTTCTACAGACACGCAGAGGAGTCCAAGTTGGCAGGCTGGCAGGATACATAATCCGCCTCGCCCGGCAATGTCGTATGCTAACAAATGAGGCCCCGAGGTGGGGGGATCCACGATGATCTCACTGCACTTTAGATCTGATGGGAACAAAAGACGAGATGAAGCTTGATGACAAGCACGTTCTGTCTCAGATGGAGCAAACGGTACTCTGACAGCACGGTACTACAACAAGGCACCTTATGAATAGCAGGTGAATATTTCGCGGACGCTAACGAAAGAAGCAGCGCAGAAAACAAAGCTGTTTCGTATTTGCGTCGTGTTTCTCGCATGTTGCGCCTCACTCTGAGCTGCAGGAAGCACACGCCCAGCGAGCCAAACCAACTCTAGGCGATGCCATGCCTATTTCGTGGGGTTGCAAGGGGGGCTGGAAGTCTACCGCAGCAGTGCTGCGTGCCCAGCCAGCACTGAGATGCCTCTTCCAATTGCAAGCAAACGTCAGCAGAGAGGGGGAAGAGCAGGGAAGGAGGTACATTCGGCTGAGTGGGCCTCGCCCCAGAGATCGAAGTACCTGGCAGCCGCTGGAAAAGCAGGCGCGAGGCTCAGCCTGCAAGTCCAGAACTCCAGCCAGGTACCTGGCGCAGAATCCCTAGACGAAAAAAAGCGAGTGAAGGATCTGACTGGCAGGCGGAAGGGGCATGAATGGCAGACAGGCAAACTGGAAAGAGCGCGCCAGAAGAGGGGAAGGGATAGGATTCCTAAGCGTACAGTGCGTTCAGCCCTGCCAGGGTCCGGTCCGCAGCGGCCCAGTGCAGCGCTACTTGGTAGGAGGTAGGTACAGCTCGTGGCACTTGGTGGGCTGCCGTTGCCTGCTGCTGCCGTTCCAAATCTTTCGAGCGCCTTCTACAATTGCCCGTGATCCCCTAGGCGGTAACTACAACTGGAACCCACCCCGGCCTCACCCCAACACCAGGGCCCAGCCTTTTCCAACCGTAGCCTCACAAACCCCTTCTTAGCTTCCACTCTCCTCCCCCTCGCACACTCTGATCTTGCTCCTACCTTATTTCACACCCCTACCTACCTTACACCACAAGTCAGTCTTCCTCTGTTACAACAACAAACCACCTCGCGTGTTAACTCTTCTCCCAGGCTATATTGCAACTTCTCTTGCGATATCTGCGAAACGTTTGCGCACCCGCGTAAAATAAC